ATATCCATAAATGTATTTGCATAATATACCTTCTACTTTGCCTATCATGTTACCGAATGAGACACTGCCTATAAAATCATATATAAATAGAAGAGTACAAATAACAATTTTACTGATCGTATAAAACTTTATTCCCACATGATTTGTTGATTAAAGTATTCTGCAACGCGCTGTGAAATAAATTCAACGAAAGCTATAAAATGTATTTACATATGTTGATATAAATTATTCTGGTATTGATTAAATATTCCATATACACTAAATATATAAATTTACTTTTCAATGTCAAATTTTACAAGACTAAAACGTTTTTACACGACTCATAACACGAATCAGCAATTAAAGTGCTTTGTTATAATAACATTTCTTTCGTTTTTTCTCCACAATTAATTTTTTTGCTGTTATAACTCTTGTTAGTTTACAGAACCGTGAAAACTTGCGTACCATTTTACAAATAATTTGTAGAAAATTAACTTTATCATCTTTTTAAAATATTTGAATGTAATAGAAACAAAAAAAAAATAGCAAAATAAATTTCTAAAAGTAAAAAACTAAAAAATAAAAGTTATTTTTTCATCTAATATATTTGTTTCAACAATGATGGAACAAGAGATGTTGAAAATAACTGTCTCATTTAGTATGATTTGATAGTAATAAATTAAAAACTGAAATTATCTTATCTTTTGACAGCCTTCAGGCGATTAGTGAACGTCAACCACAAAACCTAACTATTACTATTTCAATATAATCGATGTTTGTGATTATACATATTAATTGTCATTAACAGAGGTAAAATTTTCAATTTCAAAAAAATTGTGACGGTTAAAACTTTACTAAAAAAAAAATTTTATTAATGTTGCCATCATTAATTAAGTATCTAACCACTTGTTTTTCTCTGAATTTTTTTGTTTATTTTTTCCTATTAATTATCGGAAGGATAGCTGAGCAAAACAATAGTAAATTTTTAATTATTTTCTATTTTACTTTAAAAGTCAAGAATATAATTTATTTGTCATTAAAGAATGAATGAGTAGTATGAGGCATATATATATTTGTTATACCTGAATTGTACTACGTCAATAACATGGCATTTAACACCACAAATTATCGAATATTCCTAAGTGTGAAATCCACAAAATCAATTTTAATTATACACATTATAGTATATGAGTGTAATTTCACAAAATTGCGGCAACTTCAGTGAAAATTACTATTATTAAAAAATAAAGGTTACAATAATTTTTTCATTTTCTCTTCATAACTATATAGAAAAATAAAAAAATAATAATAGTGATAATAATAATTATTATTGTTGATGTATAAGAGACGCGTTCCAGCCTGTGCGGTCTGGCAGATGACCTAGACAGCTATGGTTTCAACCGAAAATAAATAAAAATAAAACGCATCAATGTCTGCAGTTCTACCCTTTTACTTGAAAAACTCAGTCTTCATATTCGGTTTAAATAACAGTTATTATGTGGTGGATTCTTGGCGACCTTGTAGTGGTAGTTGCGAATCGTTATTGCACTCCTCACAAATTTAACAATTGACTGAGATTTATTTGTCAATAACTTTTCCGATTTCATTTTTTAAAATAATAATAATAATAATAATAATAATAATAAGCGGTTATTGGACGTATATAATTTATCGACTGTAAAAGTAAAATGTTTTCTTTTCAATTATACAAGTGAAATTTATGAGTACAGTGAGTCAATTAATGCACTTTTTCATTAGAATTATTTCATTTTTATGAGATTTCTAGATTTTATTTATCTTCGGCTTGTTATGCTCCAATAGTTTAAATGAAATTATGCAGTCAATGAACCATAATAATTCAATATGCTCTGAAAAAAATATTTTAAAATAAAAACCTATAATATTATAGTTTTCATTACACTCTAACAAACGTATAAAGAAAAATAATTTAATAAAAGTTTTATAAGCAGAGAAAATAAACAAAGTTATACAACTCAATAATAAAAAATCAAAAAATTCGTAGCTACGAACCAAGTAATATAGATGAGATACTACTCATATTTTCTGAATTCAAAATATTTGAGTTATTCTATTTACTTTGTTGTAATAGAATAATAATTATATATATATATTCATTGCTCAAATATGCTCCAAAGTTAAATGAACAATAGAAATTTCTTCAAAATCACGGGTTCAACGTCCAGAAGCGTGACATGATCATAATGACAATAATAATAATTGTAAACATCATCTTATCTTGAATCGGGTGAATGGTCAAATTGAAAGAAAAAAGAAAATAAATTTAAAGCCCGAAGAGGGTCTTTTGTGTTATTAAGGGTGAAAAATATAGGTTTCGTTTCTAAAGAATACTAAGTCTTTTATCCACCTGGATCGCCCTTAAAGGATTTGGTTACAATGTAGTAACAGTCTGAATTCTTGAACCAGTCTATTTACACTCGCGATGAATCACACCCGGATCTCAGAATATGAATATAATAATATAACCTTTGGCTGTTAATATCTACTGATTATTTATCAAATATAAACAAAATTCGAATAAAATATTAAATTTTTTTGACGCATTACTATTTTTAAAATTTTGAATGTTTTTTTTTATTTTTTGAAAAAAATTTTTTTCTTTAATTATCTTAATAATATATTTAATTAATGGATATCAACGAATGAATCTGGCAATAAATTAATGATGAGCAAAATCTGTCTTGGTCTTGCCATTTTGCAAGACCATAACCAAGATCATACATAATACACTAGCAAGACCAAGACCGAACAAGCAAGACCGAAACTGATACCACGGCAGTCTTGGTCTTGATCTTGCTTATCACAATAATAAATTAGAAATATCGTGATAAATTTGGAAATAGTATTTTTCCGCATTTATTGTTAAATAATCCATAAATCAGTGAACGGATGTTTTCTTCTGTAAGATTATACTTACGTACCTTTGAGATGTCAAAAAATTTTTTAAATATTATTTTCTTAATTCTATAAAAATAATCGGATTCTTTCCATTACTTAATGTTTTGAGGAATATTTCAAAAATTACTTTTCCGACTGGTCTGTAAATTTGATCAGACCTGAATTTTAATCAATCACTTGTGAATTTTTAATGAATTCAAATTATGTGTGAAAAAAAAAATTTATGAATTAAACATAAAGAATGTGATGTGCCAAGCTCGGATATAGCGGAAAGTTTTTCAACAGTCCTGTTATATGCATAATCCGTTTCCGGCAAAAAATCAAGTTATTGATTTCATCATCTTTCAAATCATTCATGGAATCAATAATGTACATTTAAATAAGATAATAATTGGACTGTTATTAAAGAAAAAAAAAAAAAAGAATTTTATATATTTTTGAGATGATCAATTAAAATGTTCAGATAAAAATAATTGTTTTAATTACGACTTTTTCATAAAATATACATTTTTTTGGGTTATTTATTTATTTATTTTTTTTTTTTTTTTTTTTTTTTTTTTTTTTTTTTTTAGGCGCTTGCCGAATAAATTTTTTACAAGAAAACTGTATAAGGTCTTTTGGATCTAAGATTCGTTCCGCCATCGAATGTTTATTTTAATTGGTTCTTTGGATATTAACATGATATGATATCAAATGGAATTTGATTGAGCAGCCGAATGTGAAGCTTTATCCGAAACCTAATGCTAATAAATATCTACATTTTTACTCTAAAAAAGAAATAAAAACATACATGTATACTACATATAAAAATTTTTCTTAAGAAAAATAATTTTATTTCAAATTTAAGGTTTAAAAATATAGATAAAATACTACTTAATATGTACGCTGGCACTTTATAACTTCCTTCTCTAACATTAAATTTTAATTAAGAAATAATATATTTTTATTCATTAATATTTATAAAAACTATTTATATATTTTAATTTATAAATCCAACTTTTATTATTTAACTAAAGTGGTATACCTAATCTTTGAATAACTAAAGTTATGAATAAGTAATTTTTATTAGTGATAAAATGTTTTTAAGATCAGTAACCGCCAAAATTTACAAAGTACTTGAAGAAAATAGTACATTAAATACTTGTAATGACTTGATTTAGTTACTAATAGTGATGCGTAGAGGAAGGATCATTAACACTGAGATATAGAGATAGTTAAATGTTATTAGCTATTGAAGAAATGATTGGGGTATTAAGTAATTTTAGCTTTCATCCTATATGGGCATAGAGATAATTATACATAGTAAGAGTAATCAAAGTAGTGTTAACTGTGTCAGATATATATGTTTACAATGAAGATGGAAAGTAAAGGAAGAGTCTCTTGCGTAATATAGACCTCCCCATTACCCATGGGCTTTACAACATTTCTTTCCGAGCTGCACACTGTCGACGAAACTGCTCTTGTAATTAAGTTATCAACGGAAAATGAGGCCATCAGTATAAAACAGACTGTGATTCTCTAATAAATAAGTTTATTTTATTTCTGTTTGTCGTAATACTACCTATTCTTTATGGGTACGAATCCATTGTTAACTTAATTAATTAAGGTTCATCAACACTTGTTGGCTTATTTTATTAATTATAAATTATAATTTCAATACTTTTTAGTTCTCACAGTAATAATACTATATACACCGGAAAACTTCTATTGTTATTTTGTTTTCTTATAATTAAAAATTACGTACATACATACATATATATATTTAAAAACAAAATGTATCATTTTATTAGTTAAAAAAGTTATCATTATTCCAATTTAATAAATGGCAAATTTTATTGCTAGTTACATTAAACATTAGCATAATAAATCATAATTATAATACTAATAAAAATAACTTAGAGCAGTTGATATGATTAGAAAACAGATATTTCTAACTTAATACTTCATAGTTTAGGAGTTTGATTTAAATTTAGCAAGAAATATACTGCTCCAATCAGCGCAAATTCTTTATTAATCTGAATATCGATCCCCGAAGTTGTACTTAATCGAAAATTTTATTTTCAAATTTTTCTACTTTAAAAATTATGTATATTCTAAAACTTTTAAGTGAATATTTCAATTTCTAGAGTTTACTTAAGAATTTTTCACCTTTCAAAGTAGTTTGCTTTCGTGTGATCTGTAAACATATTTATCAAAAAACTTTCATTTCTTTCCTGAAAATTGACACACTAAAAAAATAGAAATAAAGCACAATACAGGAAGACGATTATTATCTCTACTAAATTTCCGGAAGATCCCAAAAAAATTTTTAATCACAATGATTTTTGGAAAGATCTCTTTAAATATTATAAACTAAAACATTTTTTTATAGAAAACTCGAAAAAAAAATCTGGTTTTTCAACAAAAAAAATAAAAGAAACATAATATTGATCAAACTAATAAAGATAAATAATAATAAAATAAAAATAAAACAACTATTAATGATGTTCGCGTGATGTTGGATTATTAATTAATTAGTATTCAAAATAACCATCACAACACTTAAACACTTAGGCGTCGCAATCCTCTAGTAAACTCATGCATGCATTTATAAATTTTCTTTTGGTTTGATTGTCATTAATGTTATAGATAAAGATATTACACGAGCGTCTTACAAACACGATCATCGTAACTCATTATCATAATCTTTATTAATCTGCGTAAGAGTTTGTCACGCATACAAATTAACTTTTATTTTCTTATTTTGAAACACACACACACACACACACACACATGTATAAGATACTTGTTCGGTATTATATATAGCTTTTACGTTTCTTAGAATTATAATTCTCAATAAAAAAGTAAAATGAAATGGAAAAATTTTTTAATAATAAAAAAAAAATACTTTTAAGCATTTGTTAATGATAAATAATTTTAATTTCAGGGTGGTTTTCCGTAGTCTCTGGTAATAATGCGATGGGAAGCGCAAGAGTTTACAGACGGATTGAAAGTCTTGTACGAGGTGGAGTACCAGCTTTCCTCTTAGCAGCACCACTTCGAAGCTACACTCTTACACACTCCAAGATGGGTTAGTTAGTAACGATGTCATACCATCATTCGTTATTTTTTTCTACTCTAATCTATCTTTAGCATCGATTAATTATTTATATCCGATATCTTATTTACACAAACTCGGATTTGAATCACCGAGGTAGAAAACCGGTTAATGTTTTTTTTGTTTTCGTCAAGATGAAAAAAAAACTTTAAACTGAAATATGTTATACAGATAAAAAATAATTTATAAATAAATTGAATAATTTGATAACTTAAATGATTACAATTTCTATTTATAGAAGACGGAAATCTACGTGCTCATTATACCAAGACAATAATACAGGCTGGCGAGGTACTACGCTTAATAGCAGTCTTTCAAGATACCAGAAAATGCAGTTCAATACCCTTTGGAATAACAGGAGGTATATCGGAAAAAGACCAATATGCTCAATGTTTAGATTCCCATGGTCGCGAAGTGTTTGTCGCTTTATCAACTCGAGGTGAATTTTATGCAATATGCCAGAGTAGTAATGCAGATAACGGAAATGACGCTGTTCTTTATAGAGTTCATCACTTAGCAAAACGTGCTCTTCCTCTTAGGGTAAATTTTTAAATCATTAATATATATTGATCATTCTATATAATACATAAATGTAAAAATCATATTATTTTATTTAGTTAATTTTCTGATATGTTATAGTAGCGAGTATGAAAAAAAAAGCTAATCTGTAAATTTTTAGCCCTTACACTAAGAAAACAAAGAAATTTTATCTAGATAAGGATTAATTGGCTTAAAAATTTATTGAAATTAAATATTGAATTTATTAATTTATCTATGAATAACATCAATAACTACATAATTTTTTATTCTTAGTGTAATTTTGTAAAGTACGAAATGTATGATAAATTAAAAAAATTCAAAACCTATTGATTTCATATTATTTAAAAATAATGAGGGTCACTATTTTATCATGAAATTGAGATAAATACAAAAAAAAATTATTGGGCCATGAAAAATCGATTAAAGGATACAAATTTTAAGTATAGTAAAAATTGAATTTTTCAATTAGTTTTGAAGTTTTTCATGTTATATAAAAATTAAATGCTGGTTAAAAATCATTAATTAAAACTATCCAAATAGGTGTAACAATTCAAAGTATTTTTAAACATTTTTTTTACATATCAACGTTTTAATTAACAAATTGTCTAACTCCATTTTAGAGAATCTTCCATTTGTACGAAAATACAATTAGTTCGAAATTTATTATCACTTAATATAAATGATATATAAAAACCATTTAATATTTAATAGAGGTATAATATTTTGGTTAGAATCATTCAAATAATTTATAATTGGACTATTACAACATCAAAATGTTAAAAAATCATCCTCTAAAAATTAAGGAGTTAGACCAATTGCTAATTAGACTGTCGATATAAAAGCAGATAATGTATAAGAGAAAAATGTAATTTTTTTTTATTATTTACAATTTTTACGAAAAATGTTTTCAAGTCGAAAAATTGATATTTTCAAAAAAAATTTTTTTTTATATCACTTTGTCTTAAATAAACTTTAAGAAAAAAATAGTTGAATGTTAGTTAAAAATATAATAATTTTGATTGTATGGTTATAAATAGGATGGTTCTTACTTCCAAACTATTAAAAAAACTTTCTGAATTATTATCGAATGGGTTACATATTTAAATGTCTCGAATTTTTAATCTATAGTAATAATGGTTTTTATTTGTATCACATTGACAGTGTTTTACAAAAATATTTTCTAAATAGAAAGATAAGCAGCGCAGTCATTCTATTTAGCTTAGTTTATGTAAATTTTTAAGAATGAAAAAATTACCGATGACCTTTTTTTTATGCGAATGAAAATACGTCAAAAAATTAGATATTTTGGTATTAAATGAGTAGTCTAACAGGTAACATTCATCATACTAACCAAACTCATTAATAAAAATATCATTTGAAAATTAATCCATTTTGTACAGGTCCGATTAATAGCTGGGCCACTACCTATCCTACTACCGAGAGAATACGGAGGTTTGATGCAATTGGAAGCATCAACGAAAGGTTCCATTGTTCTTGGTTGTATTGTACCGGAGAGACCAGTTCCAAATCCTGAAATGCTAGAACTCGTGGTATCAGGTATTGGAGCACCTCGAGTTCGTAGAGCACAACTTGGTTATCCATCAGAAGCACGACTACTAACATCGCCAAAGATGCAACGATTATTATCGGCTTGCAGGTATATTTAAAATGGTTTCTATACATATATATATATATATATATATTTCGACTCATCTGTCGTAGAGAAAAGTTATTGACAGTTGAAAGTAATGGAAAACTTCCTGCTTATAAGCCAGCGAGTTCATTGCTCGAGATTTTATCTTGATTGCAGACCGATCAGTGTTGACCGGATCGATTGATTTGTTTTCTTGTTTCAGTCGGGCGGTCGGTGATCGTGCTACAGAACCACGAGTGGCGCCACAGAAACTTCATGCTAGCAGTATTAGTAATAATAGTCTTGGTGATGGATCAAAAGAAATGCACTTAAAAAAAATAAAACCCAAACCGGAAACTAAACCCGTGCTACAGAGTTTGCGTGAAGGTCTTGAACAGTTTAAAAAATCAACTGTTCGTGAGCATAGTCAAACTCGTCAAAATTCATCAAATAGTTTCTTAGAGAAAATAACTAAATTGACTTATGTTGGAGGTGGACGCAGTAGAAATCCAGCCAAGAAATCAGCATCATTCACTTTTGCTATTAAACCAGAAGTCGTTGTCAAAGCCAAGGAACGATATTCAAGTCTTGAACCAGATACTTCGTCGCAAAATCATTCTCATTATTCCAAACAACCAGTACAGAGGTCTATATCCACGAGTTTTCTGGAAACACCTCCAGTAAAAGTTGAACTTGAGCCAAATTATGCACGGGTATGTGATAGTTTAACACCTTTGACGATAGCACCTCAATCTAAAGTGATATGTACTAAAACAGATGATTTGTACACTGAAATTTGTGAAACAAATTCTAATAAAAAAATTCAAGATTTTCCTGATAATCATGTAATTGCTAGGATAAAAATTGTTGTAAAAAGTAGTGACTCGTATCAAGAAAACGGAGGAGAGGAAAAATATGCCAACTCTTTAATTGCATCCCAACATATCGATTCTGGTGTCAGTATCGAAGATAACGAACTTTATAACACAATTTTTTAATAGTTTTATAACTTTTAGTTAAGTTAATTAAATAATTTAGTATATCAATTGTTTTGTGAGTAATTAGGACAATTATAACAGTTTATATATATTTTTTTTTTTACAAATTGCCATTTGATTGTCCTTAATTAATCTGTATTATATTACATAATTTTTTATTGTACTAATAGAACATTAAAGTTTAAATCTGTAAATAACATAATAAATATAAATTTCTAAGACATTATAATTGTAGTTTTTGCTAAAACGCACCAACTATTTTTTATTATCATAAAAACTTTGAATGTAAGCCAAATAACTTTTTGTTAAGAAAAAAAATAAAAAAACAAATTTTTACATTTAAAAAAAAAATTATAGATTTATTCATAATTATATAAAATTAAATTAACTACGTACTTTCATTTTATTCTTTTCACTTTGAAGTTTCAATAATTTTGTTTTTTTTTTTTACCCACTTTATTGGCTTTTTTCATAGTATCTACTGCCTTTTCAGAATCGAAAATATATTGCCTGCCAACATTGATATCAGGATACTTACCAGAAAAACCTTGAGTAAATAATGGTTGCATAAGCAATTTAGATAATTGATTTCTCTTAAGTTTTAAGTGTCGTCGAAGATCTGCCGATTCTTTAGTCTCCAATGTCATTTCTCTACAATAATAAATATGTAATATATATTAATAAAATGATAAATGATTTAAATTAACAATTAAGTTTGTACATGCGATTGCAGGATGCTTACTGTTCATCTTCATCGAGCAATAAATCCATTTCTTCGGCGGCTTTTTTCAACCAACTTTTTTTCAAATTATCACGCTTACTGACTAACTCCAACTTATCGATTTCTCTAGCTACATTAACACGCTCTTTGACAGCAACTAGAAGTCGATCTATGATTGGAAACATAGGAATATCCTGAGCTGCCAAAAAAATGAAATTTTTTTATTTGCAAAATCAATGATAAATATTAAATAAGCATACACATCTTGAAATTTTAAAAAGTATGTGAATTCAACAAATTTATTTATATTAAATGAAAAATAATTAAGAAAATTATATTATATATAATTGCTTATTATTATGAATTCAAATAACTCACCGATGAAAGATAATTTAATATGTAAATTTTAACCTTTAAAAAAAAAAATTCAGTAAAGAAGTTATGATATATTTTGATATGAAAAATCTATAAGTACCGCTTAAAAAAACGGTTATGATTAACTTCATATTTTGTTAAAAAAAAAAGCCTCTTTAACGTTATTTAGCTAATTATTTCTAGTCAAATTATGAAGATACAAAAATTTCGTTGTTTTTGTAAAAGTCTATTTAGCTTTATAAAGTACGATGTTACGGTAAACAAAAAAAAAATAAATAAAAAGTATACTTCTCTGGCTACAATTTAAAACGAAGTATAATAATCATGTATACAAAATATGCTAATATTTTTCATTGAAATAAAAAAAGTAAAAAAAAATGAGTAAGAATAACAAACTTACTGTGTCCAAGTGTTTTACAGAGCTTCGTATAATATTGTTTTTCAGAAGGTTCCATCATCAAAACAGTAATACCTTCTTTTTGAGCACGTGCTGTTCTACCACTCCGGTGAACATAGCTTTCAGAAGTTCGCGGTACTTGATAATGAATGACATGCTCAATATTAGGAATATCGAGACCTCTAGCCGCTACGTCAGTAGCGATCAAAAGACCGTTTGGATTTTTTTGAAATCTTTCAAGATTTTTCAAACGTTGTTTTTGCACCATATTTGCATGAAGTGGTAATGGATTACAATCAAGAATACCAAATAATGTTGCCAAACGTTTAACACATCCAATACTATTACAAAATACTAATGTTCTACCGGAATGTCTTTTCAAAAAATAATACAAATAGTAATCTTTATGATCAACTGTACATACTATTCGACATTCCGTCAATGTTCCTGCAGTACCTGAAATTAAGAAAATAATAGTTAATAATAATCGTCAATTGAATTAAAATTGGTACTAAAGTTGAAAAATAATTCGAATAAACGTACCTCGCTCTTTTGTTACATCAACAATTTTCGGATTTTTGATTTTCAATAAATCAATAACTTTTTGCAATTTTTGTCCAGGAGTGATTTTAAAAATTTTACTTGAAGGTCGACGCTTTTTTTTACGTAATAAAAAGTCAGGAATATCATGAACTAGAGTCAATGTAGCGGAGAATACAAATGTCTGACGTTTTTTTAAAGCTTCTGGATTACTATTGATTCTTCCTATTAGCTGATGAAGTTCTTTAAAATGTCCTTTTTCTAACATACGATCGGTTTCATCAATAGCTAAATACTTAATAGTATTCAACTGATTCAAATGTATATTTCCTTGATCAACAAGTTCCCATAACCTACCAGGAGTTGCAATTACTATTTCAGGACCTTTTCTTAGTATTCTTTCTTGTTTGACAGCTGCCATTCCACCAATAATAACAGCAATGTTGATGTCAGTATATTTAGCAGCTTTACGCAGATGATCTCGTATCTGGATCGCTAACTCTCGTGTTGGTGTCAAAATTAAAGCGTACAACGGCTTCATTGAGTCACTTGCTGATGATGTGTTACCATCATTAACGAGACCATAATCAATTACTTTGACGCAGCCAATACCATCATTATTTTTCATGTCATCCACATCATCATCATCATTATCGTCAAATTCTTCTTGGTCATCTTGTTCAGAATCGGAAATTTCATCGATGTTTTTATCATTTTCGTCACTTTTATCGGTTGAAACTGACCAACGATCAGTAGTACCACATCGCCTAGTTTGCTTGGTTACTTTTAAATTTTCTATATTGTCAGACTCAGTTTCCGCTTCTTCATCTTCTTCAGACTCTTGAATATTATTTTCTATTTGAGGTTCCTCTTTCTTAAGTCGTAAAATTCCTGTTAAAATAGGAATACCAAACGCTAGTGTTTTACCACTTCCTGTTTCAGCCGCTCCTAAAATATCTCTACGGCCAAATATTGCAGGCCCGAGAGTTAAAGATTGAATATTGGTTGGATTTTTGAAGTTTTGCTCTTCTAGTGCTTTTATTATTGGAGGTGGAACTCCTAGAGCACTCCATACCGCTGAATTGAATTCTTCAACATCTACAGTTGTATCTTTACAAACGTCATCAATTGCTTCTTTAGGCTCATCAATATTTTTTTTTAATTGAACAATAGCTTTTTTCTTTTGCTTAGTGGATTTTTTAAGCTTTGGCCGGGGTATTGTTAATTTTTTTGATTTTTTTCGTGACGGTTCATCACTAATCGGTGGTAATTCTTCAAATCCATAAAACATTTTCAAATATTTGTTTTAAAATGAAAATTTAACAGTAATATATTTCTTTCAATTATTCAAATAGTTAAATCTGAAATTATTTATAAAATAATTACTCGTGAAAAATTTATAGGATAAAACTGATGAGAAGTAAAAATAATCATACATACCTTGTATTGTATTGTAAAAATAAAACAAATGATACTTGTAATGTTGACTTTATTTTATGAAAATGAAAAAAAAAAATATTTACAACATGTAAATTCAATCAATAATATATTATAAAATATATAGAATGTAAACAAATAAATACAGAAAATACTAATAATAAATAACCTAACTTAAACACACTATCAAACCACGTGCGATATAATTGAAGGTTAGAATTGAACAACAGACGCTATCTGTTCAGAATTAAATTAAGTTAATACTTTATTTTGATATTGTGCACTCCGTAGATAAGAAATTATCCGCATTTGGTCATACGATGTAAACGTCCTCTGTTGTTGATCTCGATGATATATCATCTACAGATAATTTTTCCTAAGCGTCAGAAACTTTTCTCCATAAAATAGATTTTATCAAACAAAATTAAAATTAAAATTAAAATAAGTATGATTGTAGTCAGCATCCAATTTTTAAAAAATTTAAAAAGAATTCACTTATTACAAGAATAATGCAATAAAAAAATTCGTTTGGAAATTTTTATGTTTATTTTCTGCAGTTTTAAAAATTTTTTTTCAATCATTGAGTTTCAGAATATTTAATAATTTTCAAAAATCGACTACTGATATCGTACTTACAAATGTAACTATATGAAAAACAAAAATGGAAAATTATTTGACAATTTTTTAATACTTTTTACTAAATAACTAAATAAAAGAAAAATATTCAATCAATAAAATCGTATTATCATTAGTTTTTTTTTTTTTATTTTCTAATAAACGAAGAATTTTTTTAATTTTCTTAATAAGTTTGTTTGTTGAAAAAAATTCTAAAAATTTTCCGATGTTTGTTAATTTCAGGATCATACTTTTTCTTTCTTTGTAATGCTATAATAATTAATACTGATTAAAAATTGTTCAAGAGGTAAAAGAAAAACCATTTAATTTAAAACTTAATTATCCTAAAACTTTATAAAAATTGAATCATGAGGATAAATGCAACAGAGTTTTAAGAAACTTGCAAAAAAATTATCTAACTATCAATTAGCAAACTAATTAACTATTGCTTCAAACTTATATATAAAAATTTTAATCATTTTATTGCTTTGCTGCAAAATAAAATAATCATAAATAGATTTAATGATAATATTTATTAAATTTCTTCGGTGTAAACCATGAATTATTAAATTGAATCATATAAAAATTGTTTTCATTGTATACTACTTTAACGCTATTTAGATGACTAAATGTAGTCTATGTCTAGGTAAGATAAAAAAATATAAAATTTTTTATACCCAACTTCTTTTAAAAATTCGTGTACACATACATAATTAGTAACGATAATAAAATTAGTTAGTCAAATAGAATATTTTTTCCATGTCCGTACCACAAATTTAGATTTCTTGTTCTTTTTTTGCGAATAGAAAAAGTACTTTTTTTCTTTTAAAAGCAAACAAATATCTTGACGTGCGTTGATATTATTTCGAAATAATGGAAAGAATTTTAAATTTTGGCTGTAGATATGGACAAAAATATCTAAGTAAACACTCTACAGAAGAAAGTAAAATGTCTAAATCCGCGTGTTTGTCTTGAGTGAAAAGAAAATTTTCCTTTCTAGTTGAATAATCGACTTTAAAACAAAAAAAAAAAGAATTTTAAACTATGGAAATCATTGAAAGAATTTGATTATCTTCAATCAAACAGAAAAGTTCTTAAACTAAGTGATATTATCGTAAGCTAAGAAAAATTTCTGTGCTCAAGACTATTTCTGCTTAATTAAGGACAATGAACCTTTTTAAATGATTTACTGGTTTAAAATTATTTATCTTGAATTAAAATCATTTTTTGATCAGTATACTTTCCTCCTAAGATATGTAATACACTACTTTCATTAATCATGATAAACATTCAAAATCTACACAAACAAGATAGCGAATTCTGACTTGAGCAGGATTATAAATTACAAATTGATTGTGTCGAAACTGCGGCTTTTGAAAGAGTGGCACATTGACCAGTGGTCCAAAAGGAACTTCAACTCCTCTTGAAATATGAGTAGTATCTCGAGGACTAGAAATACCTCTGACAAATACTGAATGTACATCGTCTGGTAATTTTTTCATATTTTGTGCTCGATAGTATTCTTTCATATTACCCAATGCAACTTCACACAACAACATAATACCCTGAGGATTTCCATTACACATTAGACTTTTACTGTAATTAGCTGCTTTTGAAGAGATGTTTGTAAAATAAATTCCTTTTCCAAACATGTGGCCAGTGTGTTTAGCATTCAGAGGACAAATTTTTAAGCCTTTTGATAAAATAGTACCGATATTATTTAATCTAGTTCCGTGCCAAAGTAATTTTTTGTTATGAAGATCTTTCATGTAATTTTCTTCTTCACCGTGTCTATTGATCATGAATATATCATTGATTTTGATTCTAAAGTGATAATGAAATTCTGAATGAGTGTTTTTTACGTACTGATGAATCATATTAAAAATCTCACAGTTTTTATCTAGTGCAATGATAGTCGAATTTAAATTTTTATAGCACCAATCTAATGGACGTTTTACCAGAAAATTTTCAAGTAACTTGCTGTTACCATAAATGAATCGTATTAATCTTTGGACTGGGAATGTTAAAATAACACTATTTTCATTTTCCTCTGGTATATCTAAAGGTGCATACATTAGAAGCTGATTACAATCCACCAAAAAATTGAATTTAGTTATACAACTAACAAGTGGTAATTTTTCTGATACATAATAATGATTTTCAGTCCCAACTATTCCCCAAATTTGAACTAGTTCAAGTAGTTTCTCCTCTTTATTTTGAATATTGATGTATTCATCATATCCAAAATGATAGTCACGAATTTCAATTTTATTGTATGAAATCTCATTATAATAAGGATGTTGTTTCCAAAAACTAATCGAGTACTTTCGGTCTTGATCCTCATATAAATAAGTTACGGTTATACGACGTGGATTTAAATACAAAGTTATACACTCATCAATTAAATTTTTTATGTCTGCTTGATTAAATAATCCATTACTTGGAGACTCTTTTTTAATTTTACGTATCATCTTCTTCCTCTTCATTATTATTATTTATAGTTAGTCCTTCAAAAACTGTTTAAAAAAAGTATAAATTAATTTAAAATGAAAGTACATATACTTTACATAACCTTTATAATTGTACTTTTTAAAAAAAGTTACCTTTTATTGTTTTGTTATCGAATATATTGTTCTTTCTTCAATTGTAAAAAATACTCTGTTGAAGTATAAATATTATTTATAAAAATATTGAATAAATAATTTTTTGTTATTAACAAATGAATTGTGAAAATGTAAACGCAGATTTCATATAAATTTAGCATCCAGTAGCTTCATCAACAATTGCGGCGAAGTGTTGTGTGGTTATGGCTGTGTGTGTGTAAGCACCTTAGTGTACGACATAATGAAATTCGTACAATTTGTCCTTGCGCAAAAGATACTTTGAACTTTTGATGAAAATAAATTTTACCATTTTACGTAAACGTAAATTGGATGCTAGATAATATATTCAACATATTTTCAGGAATTTTATTTATTTTCCTTATTTACTAATAAAGTAAATTCTTATTCTAATAAAATAATGTTTCCGAAAAAAATCATATGACAGAACTATTTCGGGAGTATCGTAGTAGTTTTCATAATTTAATTGTTTATAATTATAGTTGTATACCAGAAATTAGCCACTACCCACTATGAGTCTTTTAATAAAAATACCTATAATTAAAAATGAATTAAAAATTCACAACTCTTAAAAATTTAAAAATTTTGAAAATGAAAAATTTTAGTTTTCCTAAAATTACAGATAATAGTTTTAATTCATCATATGTATTTTTTAACACACAGGGTATTTATTAAAAAAATGACTACTGGCGGCAAATTCCTGACTTACTATTCAGTTTAATAGTCATGATAGCACACAAGGATCAAGCCGATCCAGGGCTAGTGACCACGAGGCACGATACACTGAAAGAGTTGGCATAACGTCAGAAATGTCACCGCTGCTTCCTCACCAAGATGTCATTGAAGGTAAATTTTTCAAAATTTTTATATATAAATAGTTATAATTAATTGTATGTTAATTAACGCCGTAATTTTGTGGTTTTATTTGGTATTATTTATTATCAATTTATTATTTTTTATCATACGTCTTCATTACATCGATCAACGAATTTTAAAATCAAAAAAATTTACTACTACTTATATATATTCAAAGATCAATAAAAAAAATTTTATAAATTAATTTGTTAAACTTTAGTAAAATAAGTATTATATATGTAATATAATTTCAAAATTCAATGTAGGTCATAATGATAGGAGGATCCCAATGGACCGAGCAGTGGACAAGGGTCATGTGAGGCCATAGGTCATGTCGATTCACCGCATGTCAATTCTTCGAGCCAGAGATCAGCACCAAGAAGTAATCTGGAGCAAGACACTAGATGCATCTATTGTCTGGACAACCCGCCGGTGGCTGCATTTATAAATTATTGCGGCCTCTCTGTGTTTGCGCTGAGTGCCTGATGCTATTATTTTGTCATGGGCCTGAGAGATGTCCCATCTGCAGAAAAGAATCGGACAAGTGTATTAAAATTTTTTATTAATTAATAATTATTACCATACCTTTTTTATTAATCTTTCAAAACTTTTTATTGCTCATCTTAATTTTTCTTAATTTTTCTTATGGCATTTAGATAGTTATTACTTCATTTTGTAATATTATATCTTAATCATTTTCAAATTATTTACGTGCTACATATATCAATTACTACTATTATTAATTTATATTAATACATTAAAACTTATTATTATTTGGATTAATATTCATATTCTTGATTTATACTCTTAATTTGTTAACTAAGATTATAATTAAAATGTTTGTAAAACTTTTATGTTTTCAAAACTCAGATTTTTGTAACGCGCATGATTATAATAAATAAAAACAAATACTTTCTAAGTCTTTTTTATTATTATAAAAAATAAATAAATTTTTTTTTAATTGTTGTTTATAAATAATAGAGTAATTTATCTTTTTTAATAATTGAATTTCTTTTAATTCATTATTATTGATATTTAATATTTACATTGTTTAATTTATAATTAATCTATTGTTATTATTAATTGAATTTCTCTATGTTAACATTAAATTAATTTAATAATTTAAATTAATACTATTAAGGAGATATACTTTATTTATAAATCGATTTACAAAAAATCATTAAATTGATTGATAAACTTATGCAAATAAAAAGCTATTTTTTGGTTTATTTTGTTTTTTTTTAAATAAATAATTTTTGAATTTTATCTTGAGTCTTTCATCTAGACACTTGGGCAGATCGATACCGCGCCATCTAACGTTTAGCATATCTCAATGTCTTCCTTACCAGCTCTTGCTGTTTTACCACCCTTACTGAGTAAAGTTGGTTTTGAGTTGAGATTGTTGAGATGTGTCCATTGGTCGAGTAAGTATGGAGTAAAATATGGAGACTAATATACTACAAACAAGAGCAAAAGAGACAACCAAAGAAACTTTATTGAGATTTACTGTGTGTATATTGATTGTTGTGAATCCGAAAGGATTGATCACAAAACGCTCTCTGTATATTGATATAGAATTTCGTATAAAAAGATGGCTGCAATAAATAATAGCGGGAAAAACTCAGTAAGATTTAAATAGTATCAGTAAGAGAAAGAAGAATCTTTCAAATAATCGTAAACCTTTCTATTTTAAATTCTATTGTTAAGTATGGGAATTTTTATATCATAAATTTTAGGGTATAGACAAATTTATAATTACCGGAAACTCCCAAGGGAAAACATAAAAACTTTTAAGTGCCCTGCAGTTAGTTTAGACATTCTGAGAAAAATTGCTTTGTTAAAATAAACTTACGCTTGTAATTGTAATGGTCACTTAGAATAAGATACCGAACGTTTTGGAATATTCTTTACGAAACTAGAGAAAACCCAGAGATCTTTATTTATTAATTTTTATTGTCATAATCTTTTAAGAAGCTTATTTTCCAAAACGTTCGCTAAAAAAGGGATTACTCGAGTACCCAAGGCTAGGTCATAAAAACCAGATATCCAGGCGGGCTGCAAATGACCTGAAAACATCGAGGGTCATCGTGACGTCATTTCAACATGGTCCCATTTTGCCAACTCGAGAAGGGATGCTAGCCGAAGATGAGAGCTGCAGAGGCGCGCGCAACTACCCTCACTACCCTCTGGGCCTCTCCCACTCCAAAAGTACGAACATCTCAACCAGGGGAGTCGAAAACCAAGGAACAAGAGGACACTTATCGAAAAGCAAGACTTAAATACGCCACGTGAATATTTTCCTTTTCGAAATTATTGTCGGTACTTTTTATTTTTTAAATAATAGATTTGCGCGCAAGGTAAATCTAAATTAAACTAAAATAATTCAAGTATTTTAAATTTATTATATATATATTATTTTATTCAACTTATTTGAATTTAAATCTACTTTCCCGCCTTAATCTATTTACTGCGAGTGGGGTCATCTGAGTGATCCGAACGGAAATGTAGCCAATGTAATAATTGTAAAGAAATTCAAAAAGTAACTTGCTCTCTAAGAAGACAGATCAATTGTCGTTCTTTTGTAATGTTTCATGGGTTACAGTTTAATTTTTTTCATAAATATGATATTTAAATGTTTTAATGTGTGTATTTTATTATATAGAATTTACTATTATTTGACATACATTAAGTGTTATGTATGAAGTATTAAATGTATATAACTTGTTAGAGAGCAAGTTACTTTTTGAATTCCTTTACAATTATTACATTGGCTCCATTTCCGTTCGGATCACTCAGATGACCCCCTGCGAGTTGAACGCCTTACCGCGTTCCAACGGGCGAATTAAAAGAACTCAATAAATTTACTATAGCCAATTTTGGGCTATACAACAATATATATAATATAAATTAATTCAGATAACAAAAAATCTGGTTAAAAAATAGTCATTTTTAATCAAGAAATTTGTTAATAGTAATATTTTTATTGTTTACAACAGTGTACATCCAGTCACTAATGATTGACTCAGTGACAGTGAATCTAATTCAATAGTGTGCGATGACTATTAATAACAATAAGCCGACTCCTATTTTGATCAATAATAAAGTTAAATGGATATAATTATATCAATAAATCACATAATTACAATAAAAAATAATTTTTACATCATTAATATGTTTAATTCAAGTAGTCGGTGACACAAAAAATATTTTTATACTTTTAAGACATTCCATTTAACGTATTTAGAATTTTGACATCAAGGAAAAAATTTTCACACAAGTAAAAAATATGATCACTAAGTAACGGTAATTTTTAATATACATTTCAATTTTTTGAGAACAGAAAATTTTACTGCTAGTAAATTCTAAATTATAAAACGAGTGATATTGTGAATTTATATCTTATATAATTTCTAACCTATATTGACAGTACATTAAAAAATCGAATGCATTCATAGACAATAATTTTTATTGAAATTACGATTATAAAACAAAAAATAATGGCACGAAATTTCAGTGCACAATTAGAAAAAAAGAAACACGCACAGTATTTCAAAAGAATTTTACAAGTAATGCCAAGTCAAATGGCTCAATATGATTCGAATAGAGTAATGTTTGCATTTTTTGCTGTATCAGGACTTGATATACTTGATTCGTTAGATGTATTAAACGAATCTGAAAAATTATCAGCTATAGAATGGATCTACAGATTGCAAGTAACTGATGCTGGTATCAGATCTGGTTTCCAGGCATCAATAATGCTACCTGATGACACACCTCACTATCAATGTGGTTATTTACCAATGACTTACACAGCACTTGCTACTTTATTAACACTTGGTGATGATTTAAAACGTGTAAATAAAAAATCAATCTTAGAAGGAATGCGTGCCTGCCAAAATCCAAATGGCTGTTTCATGGCAATGATTACTGAGAGCGAAAGCGACATGAGATTTCTTTATTGTGCTTGCTGTGTTTCTGCGATACTCAATGACTGGTCTGGAATGAACAAAACAACTGCTATTGATTATATTGTTAAAAGTATCGTAAGTAAACATTTGTAATTTATAAACCTAAAATTAATAGATTATAATTATTTGAATATTTTGTTAATAAATTAAAAACATGCAGATGATTATTAATGTTGGAATGTTTTGCCTGATTGGCTAAGCGTTTAATATACTTGGGATTCTCTCATTAGAATAATTACAGTCGTATGATGGAGCAATGGGACAAGGTCCAGGCTTGGAGTCACATGGTGGATCAACATTTTGCGCGGTCGCCAGTCTTTATCTCATGAATGAACTCCATAATGTATTATCCGAAGAACAAATTAATAAGCTAAGACGTTGGTGTCTTATGCGGCAGAATAGTGGATTCCAAGGTCGACCTGGTAAACCATCAGATACCTGTTACAGCTTTTGGGTTGGCGCAACATTGCATATGCTTGATGCTGGCCATTTTATTGATCCCGATGAAAATCGAAAATTCATTTTGAGTACGCAAGATGCTTCCATTGGAGGTTTTGCTAAATTTTACGATACACGCGCTGATCCAATGCATACTTATTTAGGTTTGTTTTGAAAAAATATTTACTTCTTTAATTATTATTTACTATGTAAAATATTTGGTAAAACATCACACTTATATATTAGAAAAATTTTCAATTTAATACGTATATTTGTCATAGAATATTTATATTAATAATTTTCTGCTTGATACAAATATTACTTTTTTTGTCGAAAACTAAATAAAAAAACAAATACTTAAAAATTTCAGTAAATAATTTTAATTGGATTACTATTTTTTTATTTACAAATTTTCTTAATGTTTTTATATATGTCATACAATGAAATTATTGGAAAGAAGATTCAAACTTTTTATTGCGACATTCTTAGTCCTAATGATCTTATTAATTTTAGGTAACGTTAACAACTTAGATCAAGCTTCAAGTTATTTTTCATTATATTATTCTTTACAATCATTAATAATAATCAGTTACGACATAAACAATAGAGTATCATTTATATTGAGCGGAGCAGTCACATCATTACAGGCAGCTAAATGATATATTAGTCGGTTTTGTATAGAAAAGATAGGTTTTACTGAAAATTCATATTTAAAAAAAAAAAAAAGACACTGAAAATGTCAGAATCTTTTAAGATCATATAAAAATATTATATTTAAAAATTTGAACCCAAAATTTGGTGTCGAAAGTCGATTTTGACGATTTTTGAAAATTAAAAATTCCATAGATTTTTTTTTGTTCAAATTTTTTTTTTTATAGCTCCAAGTATCCCCTTGAAAACAAACAAAAGTTTATTGCTGAATTAGAATAGTTCCCGAGGAATTTAAATAATGAAGTTGAAAAATTAAGAAAATAACAAAATTTTTAATAAATTACGAAAAAAATTTTTTTCATTTTTCTTTGGAAAATCTTCGTTTTATAATGCCGACCTGAATGACTTTGAGGCCACTTTCGACAACGTATACAAGCAACTGTTGAGTCTGAACTCTAAGAAAGGAGCTGGACCGGATGGGATTCCCAATATCTTCCTCAGGAACTGCGCTATCGGACTCTGTGAGCCCATAACTCATATCTTCGACAAATCATTAGAGCTTGGGACATTCCTAACAGACTGGAAAGTCTCGTTCGTCAGCCCAATACACAAGGATGGCCCTAGATCATTTGTCTCCAACTATAGACCCGTATGTATTCAATCAGCACTGGCTAAGCTAATGGAGAAAGTAGTCTTACCTCAACTGACTTCCTCCTTCAAACACATTATTTCTACCAAGCAACATGGGTTCGTTGGCAGCAGATCGACGACAACCAACCTGTACACCTACGTCAACTACATACTTAATGCTATGAACAACGGTCACAAAACTCATGCTATCTACACTGACTTCAGCAAGGCTTTTGACAGAGTAGATCATGAGATTTTACTAAGGAAGATGGAAAACTACGGTGTACATGGACACGCACTCAGCTGGCTCCGGTCTTACCTAACAGGCAGACGTCTGCAAGTCAGGGTTGATGGTAACTTATCTGACGAATACATGGTCACTTCAGGTGTTCCTCAGGGGTCGCACTTAGGCCCTATACTCTTCAATATTTTCGTCAACGACATCGGGAAAGAGTTTGATTCAGAGTTTATACTGTATGCAGATGATCTAAAAATCTACAGAACTATAGCGAGCGAACTGGATTGTGAGATCCTACAGCATGACATCAACACGCTAGCTACATGGTGCACAAACAACAGACTTGACTTGAATGTAAAAAAATATGCAGTGATAGCCTTCACACGTGCTCATACCCAGGTGCCCACCAGCTATCTCCTGAATGGCGTCGAAATCGAACAAGTAGACTGCATCAAAGACCTTGGTGTCTTAATTGACAACAAGCTTATGTTCACCAAACATGTAGACAAAATCACACTCCAGGCCCTCAAAATCCTAGGCCTTGTCACAAGAACTACGGTTAACCTATACCTTGCTCTAGTTCTGCCGATTTTGGAATACTGCTCGGTCATCTGGTCACCCTACACTGATATCTTAACCAAGCAGCTTGAGAGAATTCAAGACAAGCTATGTAAATATCTCTCGAATACATACTGGTCGCGAGCTAATGCCTCCACTTCAGATGATCTTCGCAAGCACTTCAAATTAAACAATTTGATTAATCGTCGTCAGGTCGCCGACATGGCTTTTTTTTACAAAGTGGTCAATGGAATCATTGACGCCCCGGACATCTGCAGCAGCTTCGAATTTGCGCCTGCCAACATAATGTTGAGGCGCAAAAGGTTACTGAAAACTACTAAGTCTTAAAAAAACTATGTGGTGAATGGACCTCATGACAGAATAGTAAACCTAGTGAACAAATTAAATGGCGAAGTGGAATTTTACGGTGGTACTTTCAGTGCTTTTATGTCAAACATTAATAAACAGTTACTTATGTACATATAAACTACACAAAGTTTTCTTTTTCTCGTCTTTTGCTTCGATTTAAATCATAATTTAATTTACTTTAATTTATGTTAATTAATTTTGAATAATTTCTTTATGTATATTGCCGATAGGCGTATGTTGATTAATAAATAAATAAATAAATAAATAATGAAAAAAAAATGTTGACCAAATTTCTTTCCAATTGAAATAAGTAAATTTCAACGATTGGTTGATTTGACATGGAGTGACTCAAATAGTAAATATTTCATTTAATCGCTTAAAATTAAGAAAAAAATAATTTAAAAAGATTTTTTTTTTTCTATAAAAATGTCATTTTCAAATATATAATCAAGTTATCAACTAAAAGATTTTAATGATAATACAAATGTTGAATTTAATAACTATGGCTACTACTTATGTCTTCATTCATTAATTTTTTTTCATTACTACATAACTTTTTTGATTACAGGTCTATGTGGCTTGAGTCTCATGGGAGAACCTGGGTTGCTGCCAATGAATGCTGCCCTCAATGTTTCTAATCGCGTTTATAAACATTTAAAAGAAATTCATAAAAAATGGAAAACTAATTGATTAGTCTTCTTTTATTAAGTAAATTAATTTTATCTAAAATTATTCATATCAAGCGCACATTAATAGATAATATCCGTTAAATTGTACTGAAAGATACAATTATTATCAGCTGTAATACAGCTGATAATAATTTGTTATAAATATACTACCATCGATGGATGTATTTATTTAGAGTAACTGCATTTGTAACTTTTTTAAATATCTACAATGTATTATAAATAACAATAATAGTCACAGTAATAACTAATTCAAAAATCATACATAAAATTTTAATTGTAAATTTAATTATGTTTAAAATGTAATTTATGCATATGTTAATTACCGCTAATATATTTAACAGTTGCAGTTTTAATATGTTCAACTCAATGAATTTAAATTTGTAAATGGTTAAAGTATTTTTGTAAATTTTTTCTCAAGTAATGTATTATGTTGATTATTTTTATTGTTGAAAAGTAATCTCTGTGATTGAATATACGGACAATAGTCGTTATACATGATGTTGTAATGAATGTGAATAATAGTTCCAAAACTTATTTTAAAAAGTTTCTCGACTTTTGTACCGTCGAAATAAATACATGTCTAAATATGCTTTAAAATATTCATCTATTGTTCTTCATATATATATATATATATATATATA